AAAAATTCATGTTTTGCTAGACCAAGTCAGGAAATTTAAATTAAAATATAATTTGAAGTACTTTATTTGCATAGATACTAAATCTGTTCTCAGATACAATTATATAACGATTTTTATTTAAAGAATTGTATAACCAGCTTTAATATAAGAATTTTAAGCAATTATGATAGTGTCTCGAAACTAAGCATGAAATATGGCTTCTGAACTAAAACTGTATTTATTTAGCTTTACAGTAAATTACATTTTTATATCTGATTGAGAAAGCAATATCTAATTCAATTCTAACTAAGCTTTATATGTCATAAATCACTTTGATTGCATCACTGGCACTGCATCATGAAGAACGCGTTTTAGAAAATTGAAGTAATTTTGCTTCTTTAGCCGTCACCAAAAGTACTTCCAATTGTATTATTATAATAAAAACAACTTCTACAATTTATATAATGCAAACAAAATCTAATTTAATAATTGAAAAAAAAATGAAATAAGTGAAAAATAAATAAAACTGCTACTATAGTTTTTCTGCAAAAACTTAACTTGTAGAAAATTTTGAAACAATAATCAGTGCTTAAATATCTCCAAAAAGAATGGTATGCACAAAAACAGTTCAAAGAATTGAAAAGAATGTGATGTATAGAAACAATTCATAACATTAAAAATAATGCCATATTTAGAAACAGTTCATAGCCGTAAAAAGAATGACATATATAAAAACAGCTGGTAGCATTTAAAGAACTGCAATTATTAAGACAATTAATTGCTTTATAAAGAACATGATATATAGAGATAATTCATAGTATTAAAAAGTAAATAATTCATAGCATTAAACAGAATGTGGTTTATCGAGACCGTTTATAGTATTACAAAGTATAGAATATATAAAAATAGTTTATAGTATTAAAAAGAATGTGATATCTAGAAACAATTCATAACATTAAAAAGAATGGGATAGTTAGATATAATTCACAATAGTAAAAAGACTGACACATATAAAAACAGCCCTTAGTATTTAAAAGAATTAAATGTATAGAGACGATTTATTGCTCTAAAAAGATCATAATATATAGAGACAGTTCTTGGTATTAAAAATAATATTATATATAGAGAGATAATTCATAGCATTAAGCAGAAAGTAGTATATAGAGAAAGTTTATAGTATTACAATGAATAGAATATATAAAAATAGTTCATACCATTGAAAAAAAAGTTGTTTAAATGACGATACTTAAAGGCATGAATTTTTGAAAAAGACAATTGTTACTGAAAGGATTTTGTTAAAGAGAATTATCGATGCAAGCATAATTGTCGCTGGAACGAACTTAATAAAAATGTGCTTTGGTGAAAATACAATACTTAAATCTAGGCAATAGAAAAAAAATTTTGATGAAAATAATTTTTAATGTTTCTGCATATTTTAACGCAAAAAGTTGCTTCATGTAGTGATTTAATTTGCATATTCTATAATACGATATAAACATGAGTCGATTTATTACGTTTTTTGAGAAGTGGAAAAAAAAACATGAAGACAAAACCATTGTCAAACATGTTCAAATTAAAAATAGGTTTATTTATTGAATTTTCATTAGGAGAATTACTACTTCATATTTACATTCAATCTTTAAACGTTATTAAACCTGTGAAACTAAAAGTTTTTCAAAATCCAATTTTACGAGATCCTAAATGGTGTTTAACTGAGAAATGTAATTATTTTTGTTAATTATATAATTTCTGAAATGAATTAAACTTACAATATATTTGTTTTGTGGAATATTTTTTCTTAATTTTCTAATTCTGAGTCTATTTATTTAAAATGGCGCATTTATTTAATTAGTTTTTTGCATATGTAACGATGCAGGAAACTTAATTCTGTTGCGAAATTATCCGTTAGTACAGATCAAGTAAAAATCTAAATTTTCATGTAAAATAAAAATCAAATGCCAATTTGTTTTCTACCTTCAAACTATATTAAGTGCTAAGTAATTTTTCTATTATATCCAGTAATACCATTTTTTTCGTATTTACAGAGAGACAAGTCATGGTTACATACGTAATTTTTAAATTACATATGTAACCATTCACGATATATGTAACTATTTATACATATGTAACGATCCAGGAAAACTATTTCTGTTGCGAAATCGTCTGATGGGTCAAGTGTTGTGTTGGTAGATCAAGTAAAAGCCTTAATCTATTCTATAAACAAAGGTTAATTTGTTTCCTACTTTTCAGATATAATCATCCTAAAGTGCTTAGTAATTTTTCTGTTATATCCTGGAATATTTTTTGTCTTATTCATGGAAAGACAAGCCATTGTAGCATATGTAGTTTTTAAATTACCTGTGCAAAGATTTATGATATATTTAACGATTCATGCATTAGCAACGATTAAGGAAATATAATTCTGCTGCAAAATTGAGTATTAGTACTTCTCAATTAAAAACCTTAATTTTTTTCTATTAATCAAATGTCAATTTGTTTCATACATTTCAAATATAATCAGTATAAAGTGCAAAGTAATTTTCTGTTATATCCTTGAATATCATTTCTCCTATACATAGAGAGATAAGTCATCGTTACATGCGTAATTTTGAAATTATCAAAATTATTTTTTATTATCTTTTTTCATATTTATAGAAGGACAAGTATTAAAAATTTTGAAATATTTAAAGCTGCTGTGTCCCGGTCCTGATTACTTTAAGCAAAATAACATCCTATTTTTTCTTCTTTTTTGACAAAAAGGTTCACCTTTCGAAGAGAAATTGTAAAGGCAAAATTATATAACATCTGGTTTAATGTATTTAAAAGAAATCTTAAATCAACAAAAATGTTGCGTGACAAAAAATTTCTTGTTTAAATATTTTTTAGTTAAAATTCGTCAATTTATTACTTTGAATTTCGCATTGGTGCGTATTTTTAGATATTTTAGGGAGCTTTTGCGTTACATAAAAATGAAAAAAGCTGAAAATAAAAAGAAAGAAAGAAATTGCTCAGGAGAACAAAAAAAGTTTTAAAAAATCAAACTTCAGGTCCTGACAGTATACGTTATTTTTTTAGTTTCGTTGTAAAGTTTTGTAACTTTACTGAAGTGACTTTAAATGGTCCTGTAGTGATAATGATTTTCAGTGTTACAAATTTACAATTTAACCGATAAGATTTCGATAATTACTACGATATAACTTACTCATTAGGCAGGTTTTTTTTCGCATTTTGTGTATAATTACTTAATATTACTCTTTGTAAACATATCTTTTTATCTTTTAACTTGCTTAAAAATATCCCATACATATATTGAAGTTTTATCCTTCATTTCCTATCCTTTTTAGGATAACCATTTCAAGTTTTCTTAATTTTGTTACTCTGGGTATAAAAATACTTTTGCAAAAAAAATAACAATAAGTAATAAGAGAGTTCTTTTTATTTTTTGTTGCTAATATTTTTTGAGTTTTCAATTCTTACATAAAATTAAAAAAAAACTTTCAATCACTGCCATGTTCAAGATAATTGTCAGCTATTGGAAAAGCAACAAGTTTATTAAGTTATTTTTTTTTGCATTTCATAAAACTTATTTTGAGTAAGCAATTAAAAAATAAGTTATTTTAAATCATGTCGGATTTGTACGAACTTTGGTAGTCACACTATAAACAATGTGTACCACCAATTTAAGAAAAATAACCTTTGTCTAAATGCGTAGATTACATTAGCAAATCTAAAAGATTTAATGAAAATGTATCATTAGAAATACACTAAATGTAATAATATTTTTAATAAAAATATGTATACAATAATACCTTAGTCTTATCATTCCTTAGTCACGAGCGATAAATCCACGCAAGCAAGTTTCCAAAAGGGAGTAACAGAATTATTTATTTTATTTATTTATTATTTTATGTTTCAAACATTTAAGACGCTTTTAAAATATTCTTAAAAATGTTTCACTAGAAAAATTATTAGTTTATTTTTATGCAACTAACAAAGACATTTTTGTTTGTATGTTTTTGACACAGATTTAAAACTATAGGAACAGTCTTTTAAGGCATAAACATTACTTTAAAACGCAAATGAATATTTTTTAACTTTTATTTCATAGACTTTAACCTCCTCCCCCTCTCTTTCTCGTCAAAATCACGAGGTAAATTTTTGCTCCTTTTTTTTCATGCCTGTGATATTTTCGGGCTAGAGTGATCAATAGTAAGGCACCTTCAGGGCTTAAATATATACTTCTCTTGTACCCAGAATTTTTTTATTTCTCAGTTTACATACTAGTTGGCTGTATCAGGCATTTTTTAATGTAACTGGATATAGTTTACTTGAAATTCATCATACGCAAAAAAATTACTAATATTTATTAATGATATGTGATTATTTAATAAAATCTTAATGTTTAAAGCACGTATTTTTCTAATTTTCCTTGTTTACTGGAAAACTAACATTCTATTTTAATAACCCTGAATGTTGGCTTCATTAAAACAATTTAATTTTTCAAATTGCAAGCTAAAAAAAGTTCAAAAATAAAAAAAATCATACATATTTTGTACATATACCTTTAAGTTATATGTTATAATAGTTATATGAAAAATTCATGTAAAAGTTTTTTGAGTAGAGTTTTTTGGATAAAAAATAGATATTGCTTTGACCATTTTCTTGAAAACAATAAGATCGTTAAGGGGGTAATGTGTAATTATTATCACGGGGAGTTCAATTGATTCGAATGTATATTTCAAGACGGGATTGAAAATTAAGCAGTATCCATTTTTTGGAAATATTAGTGCTTTAATATACATCTCGGATATTTTTATTGATTTTAAGTAAAAGCAACGATTAGTAACAATAGGCATTTAACTAGAGACAGTGCAAGTTACAAACATTATAGTCTAAAATTATAGTACATCATAATACATTTATTTAACACTTTATATATATTTTAACACTTTATTTATATATTTTAACACTTTATATTCCAAATTTAGTGATCATGGGTAGTGAAAAGAAATTTTTTGCAATTTTTATGAGTCATTTTTTTATTATATGTTAGATAATACAGCAGACACAAGTATTTGTATTAGCATCACAAATCAAAGCTTGTCCACATTTAGGAAAACTTACATCAACCCTTGGTTCTGGCAGTGATTTTGTTCTTATTGGTTCAGATCTCTGGATTTCGCAGTGGTCTCCTATGCCTAAAACAAGCAAATATTTTTTACTAATTTTAGGTTTCTTTCTGATAAACTGCTGAAAACTAATATTCCTTATTTGAGTAAAAAATTAAAAGAATTATCACGTCTAAAGCCACATTACTTGTCATATTGCATGCTTACTCGTGCATTGAAACCCACTGTTTCGATATGGTGCTATTAATAGTAATAATATTAATGACATCATGCGTGTATCTCAAAACTAAAAATGGATTCAAATACTTTATACCAAAGTGGTGAGTGAAAATCAATGCATAACTTTTAAATTTAGGATTTTCATTGCACCATGAAGTGTTATTTAACTTAACTTGGTGTAAAGTAGCCGCCATCATTTTTGTTACTCAGTACTCTAAAATTTATAATTTCAGTAAGATATGATACACATAACAGTCAGTAGAGCTATTTTTACGATATAATATAAAGCAATAATTTAATCATTAATATAGGATGCATGCATTCAATGCTTCTTAAAATAAAAGCAGATTATTAATCGTACACCCTTCATGTTGTTGCTGTTTCTAATGCCACGTGCCAATTAACCAGCAAGCCTGCTTGGTGAAACTAAGCGAATTTTAAGCATTTCAGGGGATGTGTTTCCTGTTTATCAGTTGCACCATGCATGGCCAAGAATACGTCTTCACCACTCATATGCGTCACAGTCAGTTTTAAAGAGCCGACCCATTCATACATCCATTTATTCATTCATCCAAAGTTCGTAATTCGGACCTGAGTCAGAGAATGATTAATCTCCAATGCAGTACCCCAGAGGTATTGATTTGGAAAGGGAAATTGAAAGACTTCCTGATCCAACATATTCAACTTGCACCAGTCACCATTTATTATGCGGGGAATCTTCAGCCGGTGGGGATCGAACTCACTTCTTTTTTTTTGTGCACTGTATACCTTTTAAAAAAACATAATTATTTTTACTATACAACTAAAAACAGATAACTTATTACGACAATTAACTTCAGTATATTTTGAGCATCGTGGTGACCAACTCAAACTAGATTATAATCTTCTCTATTAGAAACATACAATATCGATCACCTGCCCTCTGATGAAATTAAGGCCAATAATGGTGAAAATAATTCATGAATTTAGTAAAAGTTTGGAGTTTAGTGTTAGCTTTATCATTTATTGGAGTTTTTTATGTAACTACACCCATAAGACTGAATTTAAGCTCTCTTTTCGTGTTTAAATTGAAACAAGCAAACAAAAACTCCCACAATTTTTGAATTTTTCAAAGCAAAATTTGGATTGATATTACAATACAGTTTTCTCTGTGGAAACACGCATAAGAATATGCACTATTTACATAATTAGACAGATTCCTGATAGAAAGTCGAGTATAATTACATTGCCCTCTAGTCATAATCTTTGTTGACTATAGGGCAATACAGTTACACCAACTTTACAGTTATATAGTTATACAATACTTTTACCAAAAATTTTATCTATTAATGAAAGGAAATTTAAGTTCCTTTTTAAAAATATTTAAAGTCTTCAATAAAATAATTCTGGAAAAAAATTTATTGTTTAATAGGGGAGATGAGCGCTAGTGTGGACAATTTATGTAAATTTTTGCCGAAACTCTAATTAATTAACACTAATAGAATTTTTCAATATCGTAAATGTTTATGCTCCTTTTAAAATATTGTTTTTTTTAACGGTAGGCATTGAACTCCCGTTCTTAGTCTTGGAGAAACCTGAAGTGCAGCTCATTTAACGTTACCTGATGGGCACCTAGAGGAGCAATATTACACAAACTGCACTGCCTTAGATACCCGTTCATAGGATGGGCCACATTCACACATCACACAACTGAGAACATACCGCAGAGACAAACGTTCATGACCTGAGCGAGATTCGAACCCGCATCCATTGCCTTCACTGTGAAGCACGATAACCAATCAGTCACCTGACCAGTCACTTTAAATAGTACATAAGCTACTTTAGATGTGTACATTTTTATTAATAATACATTTTTAAGTTGTAAAACACTAGATCCATGTCTGAACATGTGAACAAGTCTTGAACCAAATTATTTATTCGATTGCCTGGATATTGCCGAGACAGCCAGCCTGGCTGATGTGGAGTCGGGCCCATGTCCTGGAGGTCGGGAGTTCAATCCCCACCAGATGAATTTTTCCCCTTTATAAAATGGTGACTGGTGCACGTTAAATCTCTCGTGGCTCTTCCAAGTTTAAACAAATTAATATATCTAGAGGTACTAGATCAGAGATTGATCGCTCTCTGATTCAGACCAAAATTATGATTTACGGATGGATGAATGGTATGTTAATTCTCTCTGTAAAACGGGATGTGACAAATGCATGTTGTCCCCGGATTGTCATCAGGAATGTTTCACAGACCGTCACCAATAGTTCGTTGCACAGCTTTAGTGGACGTAAATAAAAGTGCCAAGTATTATTGCTACTATTTGAAGAAGAAAAAATTAAAACCAAAATTACTAGTTTTGTCTAAAAATACATTCTTAAGTGAATATTCTTTGTGCAATCCTTATAACATTTAATTTCGAAACTTAATAATAAATAGAATACTGCTAGAATGAGAGATTTTTCTGGAATATTAAATGCATAGTACGTTTTAAGCTTTACTATTTAATTTTTGATGTGTTCAATTTGTCTGTCATGACTACTTCAATTTTCAGTTTTCCTTGCATTCGTATTTGAAATATTGGCACCACTAAAGCCCCACTGGTAGCTATACAAATATTGTGCCAAGCCTTCTATAGTTCTTAGAGAAATGCTCGTAAAGTCATTAACTTAAACTGAATAAATTGAAATTTTCGAAGGCGTCTCCTACCTATTATGATGAATATCTATTTAGGCTGACACTTATGAAATTTAAAAGAAAATGGTAACTGAAATAAAGCTATGATTAAAAAATAATTCCGAAGATGTTACTAAAGTATTATTCATGATTTAAATAAAATGTGGTTCAAAATATTTTTTTTTTATTATTTAAAGAGAAGCTACAAGGATTGAACAAAATAATGGAACCACACTTCTGAACTAACACATTTTTTTTTCATTTTTCTCAATAAATGATTAGAGAATCATTTTATAACTTCAGAAATGTTTATATTATAGGATTTATCATACTTCTCAATGAGGTTTAATGCTTTAAGAGATTTAAAAGACCTACAATAAATGATCCAAGGAAAATAATATTGTTGAAAATCTTTTGCCTAAAAATGAAGAATGAATTTGAAACTTGTAACAATTGTTTTTGCTGTAACATAAGATAACTGTACAAAATTTCGTAGGCCTATCTTAAATATTTATAAAAATATTGAAATTTTTATAAATTAAAAAAACTAAGTTTTTTGTCTTACGTTTTATTGATATAAATTTAAAAATATTCAATAAAATTCGACAGAACTTTTAGAGAAGTGAAAAATTATTTACAAAATTATTGCTTTAAAATTTTAAAACAATGTTTAAAACTACGAGAGAAATGAGCAATTAAAGTAGCACTTTTATACTGTGCATGAGCGGAAAACATTAGATTTTTTTTCTCATAATCTTCTAGAAAATTTTATTATGAGATTTGAATATTTTAAAAATTTAAGAAGTTTCAAGCAATTTTCTAAGTAGTTTTCGCACTTTCTAAAGGAAAGCTCAAAATAATAAGGCGGGTTTCGACAAATTTCATTTTGAACAGTGAAACATGATTATCAAAAATGACACCGGCGTTGTTGGGGATTATTCCCGATAAAAGCCTATTTTCTTTCGCCTTTTTTCTTTCTTCATACAATCATATTTCGGTGTATAAACGCTTACTGTATAGAATTATCATGTTTTATTTAATTTTGTCTTTTGCTTTTAATTTTTAAGATATTCAAATCGAAATTTTCTCCTTAGTTGCCAAATGCGATTCTTCACAAGACTATGAGAAAAAAAATATAAAAAATGTTCTTCTCATGCGCAATATAAAAGAACTACTTTAACTATTAATATCTTAGGCAATTTTAAACAAAATTTTCTGAAATTTAAAAAAAAAAAATCATTTAGTAATTAATTCTAAATTACTCCGAAAATTTTGCTTAATTTTAGGGAATATTTTAAATGTTATAGCAAAAGAAACTTAAGACAAAAAATATAAGTTTTCATAAAAATGTCAATATCTCCATAAATATCTAAGTAAGCTTGCGAAATTTTCTGCAATTTACGCTTACCGTAACCAAAATAATTGTTACAAGTTATTTTTACAATAATAATACATTGTTGCAATTATAATTATAATAAGTACACATGCGATCAAGCATGCAATTTTATGCTTATTGCTGATGAAGTTATTCTCTTGCAGCTTCACTAATATACATATTAAGCAACTCTAATTTGATAAGATATTCTTATTTTGGGGAGAGTTCTTGCCATTATTACTTAATTTAAGATTACAAGTGCATTTAAATTAATAGTTAAATCTTAAGATTAAACATTACCTAAAATCTTTTCACAAGTTGGACAGCAATCACATCCTACATATACTTTTTTAGTTCCTCTCGGACAGTCTTTTAGTTTACAAGTTGCACCAGAGCAGGTAACGCCTTCGCATTGCTCAAATTCATCGCTATTTGCATGAGTTATGGCCAATACAATAAGAACTATCTGAAACATTTTGGCTACACGAAAATAAACAACCTGATAAAAAAAATTTATATTATTCGAACATTTCAAGCACACCCACATATCAAAAATTCATAAAAATTTAGCATTTTTTAAAAATAATTTTGAGCAATTACTTTTCTGAGAAAATATTATGCTTAAAATTCAAAGAAAAATATCAAAATATGATATGATTTGCGTGTTTAAATTAGTAAACATTTTCTGTGAAATATGTTCACTTACCTGTCTCATCTCGTTCTGAGAGTTTAAAAGGAAACTCTTGTGTTTTACAAATACACTTTATAAACAAATATTAAGAACGATGAATTGCATAAAAATCCTACTTAAATTAAAATATGTCAAAAGGGAGGAGCAGGTGTATTAACATAATAAACAGGTTTCATACTCTTTGGGTATATAGAACAATTGTGCAAATACTAAGAAAGAAAAGTATCGTGTCATAAGAAATATGAAGCTGGTGAAAGTGAGGCGTATCAGACCATGGCTACAAATAAGTAAATAAATAAAAATAATTAAATGCGATATTAGAAATTATTAAAATAAAAAATATAGGAATTTGTATTGTTTCACACAAATAATGTTGATCTAGCTAATTGCGTGTACAGGGCGAAATGAAAGTTAAATAAATCAAAAGAGTTGCGTTAATTTAATTAACACGACGAAAACTTGCACAGAACTGAAATATATATACCAATACAAATAACAAAGCTAAATTTCAATTTTTTTTAACTAACTATTTTTTGACTAACGTATTTATTTTGGTTTTTGACTGTATGACTAGAAAGCTCGAAATACTTACCAAACCAACAGCGGATAAGCTGGTCATCGGAATAGACCTTCATAAAAATTAAAATTATTTTCTTCAATAAAATTTTTTTTCTGTGTAGATAAACCACTTGAATTTTTTTGCAGTTGAAAATTGTTTCAGTAAGTAAAGCTTTTAAGATAAAAATTAAAAAACGATTTGTTGTTCTCTGAAAAAGGGCTTAGCATTTTAAACAGGAAAAAAAAGTTATTTGGCTGAATGGCGATGTTGGAGGATAGCAAAGCAAACGAGCTACTTTTTTGAACTGTGGACTTATTTACTATCATTAATTATCTTTGTGTTAGCAATTATTGTATTTTATTTGTATTGTATTGTATTGTATTTGTTTTGTATTGTATTTGTATTTGTATTGTATTGTATTGTATTGTATTGTATTGTATTGTATTGTATTTGTATTGTATTTGTATTGCATTTGTATTGCATTTGTATTGTATTTGTATTCTATTTGTATTCTATTTGTATTCTATTTGTATTGTATTTGTATCATATTTGTACTGTATTTGCACTGTATTTGTACTGTATTTGTACTGTATTTGCACTGTATTTGCACTGTGTTTGCACTGTGTTTGCATTGCGTTTCTATTGTATTTCTATTGTATTTCTATTGTATTTCTATTGCATTTCTATTGCATTTCTATTGTATTTCTATTGTATTTCTATTGTATTTCTATTGTACTTGTAATTTGAATTACTTTTTCGCCAAAGAGAAATGAATTTCTACTGTTATATATTTCTTTTAATTAAATGAGTGCACGAATCATAATCAGTAAAAAAAAAAATTTAGTTTAATGGCGCTGTTTAAAAACTGAGATACAGCGCAACGAAACTTACGTTAAAAAGTTAGTTTAAATTTGTCTTTACATTTATCTGACAAGCTCAATTGGTAATTTAAATCAACTTTTGCTTGCCGACTTGTTTTAACTTTTTATTGAGTCTATGTGAAAATTTTTTTGCTATTATATATTTTTTTCTTTTCTTAATATTCATACCCAAAAAGTAAGACCTTATTGATTTAAGTCTTAAATATGAATTCTTTAATTTATATGCATTTTAAGGACATCTATACGCTGTTGGAGCCCAATCTCTCGCAGTCAACATGTAGTTTACAGAGAAGTTGCTTTAGCGACTGATATTTAGGGTTGTCATAGTATCAGTGTTTAATAATAGTGTTAAATTATAGTGTTTAATAAATTTAAGTCCCTTGAAATTCTATGTGAATGGCCCTGTGAAGAGTAAACTATCATCACTACTTGGAAATAATCAGTCTACCAGTCACCGTTTGAATCTGCTTGTCGTCATCTGTGATCAACACGTGTGATTTTGCCTTTGTTTCGGGTTAGTTGTAACTCACTTCTTCTATGAGTTTTTCAAATAAGAAAATTTGCTTATAAGATTTGAGAGGGCAACAACAAGTTTTTTAAGAATGTTAATATTGTGAAGAATATTTTTTTTAAATTTTTTTATTTCCAATGAGCAGCACAATCGGTCTTGCCGATGAGCAGACCTAGTGCGTTCTCCAGAGGTGATATCCACTCTTTCAGGACCGCCACAATGGGTAAGATACCGTTGGTTATGTGAATTTGGACGTCTATTTGGATGCTAAAGTGCACTAGGAATTCAATTTTGCGGAAATGCCAAGAGCCAATAAAGCACTCCAGGGATCTTTTACAAGCCGCATAATCATACGACATGGCCGCTGAGGATTTTCTGCATCCCGAAAATCCGGTGTCTGGGCAGGGGATCAAACCCGCAAACATTGTGAAGAATATAAGCTCCAGTATAAATAACGAGACAACCAACCCCGTGACGCACACTTTCGACATTCACGCTTTTGCTAGTACGCTGTAATATTATTTTCTTGAAAAATTCTATCTTCTTCCACCTTTTTCCGCTATGATGAAAGCCAAAAATGGCGTTTTCAATAAGTATTTTCCTTCTCTTGCCGGACGGTTATTTGGTGTTATTTTTTTTTCTTTTTTTTTTCTTTTAACGTTGTGAAATCTTGCTGCGCATCCAATAATATTTTTAATAAAATAAAAAAAAATAATTAAGATAATATTTTTTGATGAAACTTCTCGAACAATCCTTGTTGAAGGTTGTGGTGAAAATGACATTAACAATTGTACTTCCCATTAGACTGTTTTTTTTCGCGCAATATATTCATTATTTTTCAATTGACTAAAATGTAGATATAATAATATAATTTCACTAATTAAACTTTTCTTATATTTATTGTTAATGTTTCAAATGTTTATTGATCATTTAATCTAAGTCGTTGAAATGTTAAACTTTCATTGGCTCTTTGTTCTACTTCTTGCTCCCTTGTGATGCTGGAAATTTATATGGACTGATTCCCTAATAAAGCCATATGAAATAAACACACACACACACTTTTCTCATGTTGTAAATCACGTCAAATATTTTTTTTAAAAACACTAATTAATTTCTATTTTTATAATAATTTATTACCTTTTATTTACATTTTCTTTCGGCACAAAAATAATCATCACTTTATGTATATTAATAAAATAACTCAGTGTTGATTGAATACTACACGAAATATTAGTTGAAGCATACGAAGGTGAAGCATTATTTTACTTATTTTACTTTTGATTCCAAAACAGTGTTTAGAAGTTCTGAGGGGTGATGAAATATATACATATATATATATATATATATATA